TGGACTTCCAAGAAAACAAACAGATTCATCCTGGAGAGGGTTAAACCAGGCTGCTTCTTGGAGGCAAGGATTCTGGGGATTGTCTGACATACTTTGGACACATTGTAAGGAGGGACAGGTCCTTGGAGAGGGACATCATGCTTGGGAGGGTGGAGGGACAGCAAAAGAGGTGAAGACCCTTTATGAGGTGGATTGATTCAGTGATTGGGGTAATCAGGATGGGTGTATCAGAGGCAGTGTGATTGGCACAGGATAGAACAGGGTTTAGGGCTTTTGTACATTGGGTCCCTATAAGTCGCAAGCGACTTGACAGCACATAACAACAACATTTACCCCCAGGCAGTTACATACAACCCTATATTGCTTCCTACTGCCTTTTAGTCCTACATGACTTCTTAGACAGGTCAAACAGAAATGAACATTCTGCCTCAATCCTTTTGGATAGAATTGACACACATAATGATACACAAACATAGTTTTACTCTTTTGTCTCCCTCTCTGTCAAGGTCTTCTTCAAAGTTCTAAAGAGCAAGGATATCAGTTTATATACTACGATGTGCCTGATCAAGACTTGAATATTTTCAATTGCTTCCTATGCATCTGGAAGTCTAACACTGAATAAGGAAGGCTAAGGAAGAATTGATGCCTTTGAACTGTGGTGCTGGCAAATATATTAAATATATTATGGACTGCCAAAATAACAAATAAATCTGTCTTGAAGGAAGTGTGACCAGAGTATTTCTGAGAGTCAAACATGGTGAAACTTCATTTCACTTATTTTGATATATTTTCAGGAGAAAACAATCCTTGGATAGAGGCGTCATTCTGGGAAAAGTAGAATGTCAGCAAAAAAAGATGAAGACCTATGATGAGCTAGGCTGTTGCAGGGACAATCACAATGGGCTTGGGCTGACAGATCATGAGTATGGTACAGGAAAGGGCAAGGTTCAGATCTCTTGTTCATAGCATTACTAAGCGTCATAGTCAACTCAACAGCAACTAACAACAGCCTCCCTCTCGGGGCGTTTGAGCCACTGCCATTTTAAGATGATTATACCAAATCTGAAAATGAGTTTAACTCTAGTGAGTAGAAAGTAAAAATTTTCCTACCTTCTATATGTCACTTTTCCTCGATTTAGCATTTACTTAATTGTTACAACTGTTTTATTTGCTTCCCAATTTCTAAAAGAGTTTGTCCTACCAGTTTTTAGCTTGGCTTTTGTTGTGCACATTTTGTGAGAAGACAGGAGTATGTAGTTGCTCACACAACCATCCTACTTCAGAATCTCTTAAAGTTTCTCTAAGCTTCATTTTCTTCATTCCATAAAAGGTAGAGTTATGTCATCATTAAAATTCTTGAAAATATTTTATGACAGTATTTAGTGACTTAAATAGACTGACATAGTCACTAAATTCTTAAAAATTCTGTGAATATGAAGTGAAACTATATAAACATATAAAATGGGATCTTTGAGTAGCAAAGAGAACAGGAAGAATGTGCCTACAATAAAATCAGTCAAAAGTAACCAGTGATGTAAATGATTCTACCAAATGAAATAGTATTATTTCACTTAAAAACGGTTCCATTATTTTACTCTGAGGTTAATAAAAGAAATTTTTTAAAAAATCAGTTAAAAGCCCTGGAAGACATTATGCTGAGTGAGGTATCTCAGTCACAAAGGGACAAATGCTATATGGTGCCACTGTTGTAGATAAGGCTGGCATTGGGGTGGGGGTAAGACTGAGAAAAACTGGATGAAATATGTTTACGGCATTGAAGTCTATGGGAGAGAGAATAGTCTAAAAGTATTATATTTTAGGGCATTATTTTTATCATAGGAGTATGCAATGAGGGTTGCAGAGTGGATTATATTTGGGGGTAGGGGGTGGGGTTTGAGAGGTGCGGGGGGGGGGGTTGTGTACCAATGACGGAGTTTTTCAAGGAGAGGAGCAAAGGGGGGGAGGGGGGAGGGGTTTGTGCGGGGAGAAGGGTGCAACAATGAATGAATGGAATCCCAAAATCTCTGTAGATGTTCATTGAAATGAAAAATAAACAACCTAAAGAAAAAAAAATCAGTTAAAAGTAATTTCTATTGAGTTGGAACCAAGTCAGCTGAGCCTCCAACTTGGGAGAAGATAGGTCAGATTTCTCACATACTGTGACTGGTAGATCCAAACCACTAGACAGATTATACCACCAGAGCTCCATGCAATAAAAGTTAGGAGAAGCAATATGATATAGAACCCAGAAAGTGTCAATGGTAATAGAAGAGTTTCATTTGAAAGACACTGTAAAAATAAGCAACTAAGTCAATGCATAGACCAAAAGGGAGAAAAAAATCCATAGATGCTTATTAAGTTTTTATTCCAAGAAACCACATCATCCTATGTCAGCTCTCTAGTTTAGAGCTTATGACTACTCACATATTTAGAGCTAACAGTAGATAAGCCTATCTGCTGGTGAGTGGTAATTCAGTCTGAAGATTTTATTGCTATATAGAGCATGGCTGAGATTATGAGGATGGTGCCAGATAGGGCAAGGTTCAGATGTGTTGCTCACAGGGTCACTATAAGTCATAGTTGACTTGATGGGACCTAACAACAACATATGTAATAGCTTCATCTATTTTTAAATTTGTCTACATGTAATTATTTTTTCAATACCTTTTAAAATAGGAAGTTGGCGGTAAGCTGCAAGTTTTGGCTGAAATATATTTTCCATTAAAACCCTTTCCATAAAAAATAAGTCTTGATGAAACTTTTCTGATTTTAATACTGCATCTGATTGGTCATCTTCATCTTCATGGATTTTAGCAAGAATTACATTTTCAATATCCATTAGAGAACTTGTTTCACTATCTGTAAAATACAACCATAATGCACAAAGATAAAATAATCCAAATGGCTTATGCATTCTAAAGATGTAAAAACGTACATTTCCCCACTTCTATTTATTTTCCCCTCATTATTCAACAACTTTAATAGAAAAAATATTAAGTCGTGTTTATATACCAAGAACATGCAAAACACATGTTATCTCATTTTGAATTTATTTTCCTTTTTGAGATTATCCAAAACCTTAGCTTTTCAGAAGATAAGCTAAAACAAACCTTATGAGGTAATCTGTGTATCTAAAATTGTTGTTCACATTAAAATAAGATCATTAGAGATTTCTGTGTGGGAGAGGGATGGGCATTCTTCTCCCATGAGATTGTTTTCTGAAAATCTGCTGGAGAGTCAGCTATGACGCAAAGGCACACAACAACAGTTGAAGGTATGGTTTGATGATGGCTTTATAGGGACACTATAACTTTTCTATTGCTGTTGTAAAAAAAAATCATCACCGATTTATTGACTAAAATAGCACAATGTAGTCTCTTACAACTTTGTAGGTTAGAAGTCTGACAGGTGTCATTGAATTAAACTCGTGTACTCAAAAGACCAGAGAGATTCAGATGTTGGGGGTTAACAGTGGAACATGCTATGGACTACACTAAGCCATAAGACGGAGGATGGGAAAGATACTTGTACAGGAGAAGAGAGCTGAATAGAGAAGTCCTTGCACTACTCATGAAATAGTTGTGCTATGCCATCGAGTCAGAACCAACTCAGAGCTGATCTTCCAGTGAGTTTTCAGAGTGAATGAATCACATGAGAGGATATTACCCATTCTTCTCCTGTGAAGCAGTTGGTGGATTCAAACTGCATACATTCAGAACCCAGAACAGCTTCTTACCACTATGCCACCAGCAGTATAGTGTTATTTGACACTTGATGTCTATTAGTTATAAATATGTATTAAAAACTCCAACAAAACGCACTGTCTTTAGTTGATTCCAATTTGCCCTGGTGATACCGTAGGCAGTAATGCTGATGTTGTCAGGAAAAGATGGAGGACTGAATTCACCAGTCTTCTGAAAATATTAGGTGTTGTCCAATGGGCTTCAATTCATAGCTACTTTACAACAGAAAGAAATCCTACCCAATTCTTGACCATCCTAACAATCGCTACTGTACTCATGTTGCAATCACAGCATTAATCCATTTCATTGAAGGTCTTTCTCTTCTTTTCTCTCTACTTTTCCAAGCATGATATGCCCTCCTGCAGGGAACGGTCCCCTCCTGCAACATGCTCAAAGTACTTGATAGAAGATTTCATCACCTTCACCTCTACTCCAGTTCAAGACAAATTTGTTCCTTCTTTGGGCACTTTATAATATATTCAACATTTCTCATCAGTACCACAATTCTAAAGCACCGATTTTTTAGTCTTCCTTATTCACTGTCCAACCTTTGTAGGTATATAAACCAATTCAAAATACCATGGTATTTGTCAGGCATGCCTTAGCCCTCTAAGCAAAATGTGTGCTTTTTAACACTTTGAAGAGATCTTTAACATCATATTTGTCCATGCAATACATAATTTGATTTCTTGACTGCTGTTTTCATGGATGTTGACTATGGAGCAAAGTAAAAAAAAAGTCATTGACAACTTCAATCTCTTATCCATTTAGTTTGATGTTGCTTATTGGTCCACTTGAGAGTATTCTTGTTTCTTTTATATTGAAAAGTAATCTATACTGCAAGCTGTAAGCTTTCATCTTCAATAAGTTTTTAAATTCCTCTTGTAGCAAATAAGATTGTTTCATATTCAATCAATATTGCAGATTATTGATAAGTCTTCCTCTAATTCTGATGCCACATTCTTCTTCATATGGTCCGTCTTCTCAGAATATCTCTTAAGCATACACACTGAATATCCTTAGTACCAGAAATCAAGATATTAACAGGCGTATAGCATCAGGAAAGTCTACTGTTGAGGACCTCTCCTAATTACTGAAAAGCAAGAATGTCAGTTTGAATACAATGATGCATCATAGCCTTTTCAATCATTTGTAACTGAGAGCTACACAATGAACAAAGATGACAGAGAAGAATCAATGCCTTTGAATAATAGTACTAGATAAGAGTACTAAATCTATTACTGACTGCCAAAAGAACAAATAGATATATCTTGGAGGAAGTTCAGTCAGAGTGCTCCTTGGTGACAAGGATAGCAAAGTTTCATCTCACTCATTCTTACAACTGGACCAGTAGGCAGTGTCATGACGGATGGAGAGGAGATTGAAACTGTCAACAGCTTCATCTTGTTTGGATCCACAATTAACACCCTTGGTATAAGCAGTCAGGAAATGAGATGCATTGCAATGGGAAAATCTGTAGTTAGGGACCTTTCCAAATTATTGAGTAGTGATGTCAGTTTGAGGACTAACGTGAGTCTGATTCAGGCCATGGACTTTCCAATTACTAGCTATGCATCTGATATCTGGACAGTGAATAAGGACGACAGAAAAAAAATTATGCCTTTCAGCTGTGGTGTTGGAGAAGATCACTGAACATCCCATGGACAGCCAAGAAAATCAATAGATATGTCTTGGAGAGGGGCAGCCAGAGTGCTCTTTGGAGGCAAGAATGATGAGGCTTAACCTCATATACTTTGGACATATTGCTAGGAGGTGTTATTCCTTGGAAAAGGACATGATGTTAAGAAGGGTGGAGGGTCAGCGAAGGAGAGGAAGACCCTCAACCAGGTGGACTGACATGGTGACTGCTGCAATGTGCTCTTATGTGTCAGAACGTGTGAGGATGGTGCAGGACAGAATTAGGTTCAGATCTTTTGTTCATAGGATCTCTAAGAGTCATACTCAATTTGATGGTACCTAACAACAACAACAACAACAACAGGGTAATAGCTAGGAGAGGCTATTCTTTGGGGAAAGTATATCAGGCTAGGAAAACTGAAGAGTCAGCAAAGGAAAGCGAGACACTCAATGAGATTGTTTGACATGGTGACAGCAGCAGTGGGCTTAAATGTGTCAGAGATTGTGTGAGGATGGCACAGAATAGGATGATGAAACCTAACAAAAGCAATATATATTGAACAGGTATGGTGAAAGGCTACAACCTTGATTTAAGCTATAGAATAGTTAAACAATTGATTTTTTTGTTCATGTGCAGGTACTGTGGGAGCACAAATAAATGCTCTGTAATTCCCATTCTTCTCAATGTTATCTATAATCTATTACTACTTGCACAGTTGAATGCCTCTGCATAGTCAATAAAACACAAACAAACATCTTTCTGGTATCCTCTGTCTTTAGTCAAATTCCATTTGACATCAGCCATGACATACCTTATCCCATAACCTCTTCTGAATTCAGTTTGAATTTCTGGAAATTTCCTTTTAATGTGCTACTTCAGTCATTTTGAAATTATACTTGCATGTAATGTTGAGATTATCTGATAATTTCTGAGTTCTGCATTGAATTACCTATTTTTTAAGAATAGAAACTAGCATGGGTCTCTTCTAGTTAGTTGGCCAGGGAACTTTCTTCCAAATTCCTTAGCATAGAGAGCACATCTAAAGCTTATCTGTTTGTTGAAACCACTCAGCTGGTATTCCATCTATTCCAGGAACTTTCTTTTTTAAGAATGCCTTCAATATAGCCTTCACTTTTCATATAATTCTAATTAAAAATATATAGTCTCAAAAATCCTAAGAAGTTCTATTCTGTCCTTTAGAATCATTATGAACATGATGAAGACAAACAATAAAACCACTTACAGAAACCACTCGTGGTAGGGGCAGTGGTTTAGTGCTCATTTTGTAACCAAAAGATTTGTATTTCAAGTATTTTTAACTGCTATTGGAAGAAAGATGAAGTCTGAGTCCATAAAGTTTAGAACCATAGAGACAAGACTATATAAAATCATACACCATGGGTAGGGTAATAAGTTGCTAGTTCTAAGGTTTTGGGGCCATAGGTTCAGGGGAAAACAGATTAATTGGGATAACATGGTACACAAAAACATTATACTTCAATGAGTTGTAACTGGGGTCCGAAAAAAATGTGGAAATAGTAATTTAAGGTGCAACTATTGCTCTCTCCCTGTCTGGAACAAAGAAAAGAAAGTAAAAGCAAATATGTAGATAAAGAATTAGTCTAAAGAACTTATGGATCATTTGAACCTCTACTTGCAGGAGCCTGAAGCTAGAAGACTAGACTGTGTTCTAGCTAATTTGAAATGGAATACACAGGGAATCCTGGATAGAGTTGGGAAGGGAGGAGAGATAATGAAGGTCAAAACTCAAAAACATAAAAACAATCATTTAAATGGCCTAAAAGAGACTGGTGAGATCCCTAAGCATATGGTCTGTGGTTAGCCTTAAAACAGGTGACAAAACTCACTCCCATGGCTCAACTTTGCCATCAAACAACAGCAAGTCTGTAAGGTGAACAAGAACACCCAGGGAGGTATACACTTCCTAGAAAAACGGACCATAAAAAGGGCAGCATTTGCTTAAAGATAACATCCAGAAGACAGAAAGATTAATGGAACTGAGAAACAAGGGGGAAAGTGAGAATAATGTGGTATTGTAATTAATGTTATACAACAAAATGTGCATGGATGTTGAGTGGAAATCCAATTTGCTTTGTAAATTTTGGTTCAAATAATAATTACTTTTAATGGTGAAAAAAATGAACTTTGGGTAAGTTCTACTCTGTTTTACTGATTTGCTTAATCAAGACTGGCTTTACAGCAATTAATATGCTTTGATTTTCATATAATTTGTACACTAAAAGGACATAATTTTATTAGGAGGAATACAAGATGCAACACAGTGAATTTTAGAGCTGTGAAATGACTCAGTATGAAACTATAATGTTGAATGTGTGATGTTATGCATTTTTCAGGACCCATAGGACTGTACAACATAAAGTATAAATTCTACATTATGGACTTTAGTAAATAGTAATGCTTTACAATTATGATAAATACACTACACTGCTCTAAAA